TAGGCAATCCACTCACCTTAGCCTCCCAAAGGCGCGGAATTACAGGCTGAGCCACTGAGCCCAGCTAGGTAAAGTTTTTTTTTAAGTTTCTAAAAATGTAATTCATTCTAGAGGAAGAAAAAGTCTATTATGAAAGTAAATTATATATATAAATCCAAGAAATACCAAAATGAGACTGATGAAAACCTTAAAAAATTAGTAGTTCATAATTTTATCTGGGGCGCTAACTGGTTTCTGATACTAGGTTTAGAATAAAAATGTCATCTTAATTCTCAAAGTAGGAGAGGTCCAGTCTTTCAAAAAATACCTTATTGCCCCCCCCAACTTTTTTTTTTAGTTGGGAGTCCCTTTTTTTTTTTTTTTTTAAGAGATGGGGTCTTGCCATGTTGCTCAGGCTGGAGTGCAGTGGCTATTCACAGGCACAATCCCACTACTGAATTTTAATCTGCTTGTTTCCAACAAGGGCCAGTTCATCCCTACTTAGGCAACCCACTGGTTCTGTACTCCTGGAAGGTCACCATATTGATGCCAGACTTAGTATAGATACCTCACTGGTGTACTGCACTATAGTCCAGAACTCCTGGACTCCAACAATCCTCCTGCTTCAGCCTCTTGAGTAGCTGCCACTATAGGGGTGCCCAGCTGGTTACCTTTTTCTTACTTCCTTTAACTCTACTTCATATCTTCTTCAAACTATTTTTTAACAACTATTTGTGGCTGGGCACGGTGGCTAATGCCTGTAATCCCAGCACTTTGGGAGGCAGAGGGGAGAGGCTTGCCCGAGTCCAGGGGTTCAAGACCAGCTTGAACAACTTGGCAAGACCTCGTCTCCACAATAAATCAAAAAAATTAGCTGGGCGTGGTGGCACATGCCTGTAGTTCCAGTTACTTGGAAGGCTGAGGTGGAAGGATTATCTGAGCCCAGCAGGCCGAGGTTGCAGTAGCTGTAAGCAAGCCACTGCACTCCAGCCTAGGTGACAAGAGTGAGACTCTGACTCAAAAAAAAGAAAAGAAAAAAGAAAATGATATGGTGTGACAGGACAGTGGAAAATCAATATAGTAGGAACAGTGGAGGGCAAATTAAAGACGCATCGAACAAAATGTTAGACATTCATTTAACTTCCTGTTTGGGGAAACCACACGTACCTTCCCACAAAGCCATGGATGTCATCATAACTGTCGTATATTTCAATGTAGTCAGCCAAACAACCTGGGTCATCTTCAAGATCAAAGTCCAAAAAGCTCAGGTGAATACGCTGACCATACTTGAGTCTAATGTGCCAGTAGCAGATTTGGTTTTCTTCGTACTCCTTTGGGAAACCTGGAGATTTAAAAATTCGCTTTGGATCTGTAAAGACACCACCACACTCCTTTGCTGAAACAGGAAAAAGAAAGAAAGAAAGGAAACATTAGGAAAATAATTATCTCTATTGATAATTGCTTCTTATCTATCATTACTTTTTATGAAATATTAGAGAAATAGCTTAATATACATCTATAGTATATTATGTATGCTTATAGCCAAAGAATAAATGTATTTTTTCTTTTTTTATCAATATTTTTTATTATGATATTGTGGGATACAGTTAAGGGTTTGTATATCTATCCATTCAGGCACCCTTGTTGATAAGAGGTGTCTCTCCATCCCCAGACAGATATTTACTACCGTTAATCCCATCTCCCTTCCCCTCCCCCCCATAGTTTCCCACCACTGTCAGTCATTTTCTTATAGTATTACATTGGATGTTCAAGGTCCATTATATGAGTGAGAACATGTGATACTCAGATCTTTGTTTCTGTGAGAGATCACTCAGTATTATAGACTTTAGTTCCATCCAGGTTACTGCAAAATTCATGATTTTGTTCTTTTTTATGATTGCGTAGTATTCCATCATGTATATGTACCACATTTTTTTAATCCAGTCCTCTTTTTATGGGCAGCATAGTTGTTTCCAGGTTCTTGCTATTGTGAACAATGCTGCGATAAACATGCATGTGCAGATATCTTTTTCATAGAGTGATTGGAGTTCTTCAGGGTATATTCCCAGGAGAGGGATTGCGGGGTCATATGGGAGGTCAATATTTAGAGCTTTTAGGAATCGCCATACTGTTTTATCATCAATAGTTCTAAATTCCTTAAAATGAACATGGACTATTTGTGATTTTTTTTTTTTTTTTTTTGGTAGG